GCGCGGCGGCTCGCGCGGCGAGGGCCTCTCGCACATTTCTCGGGCGGCCGCGGCGCCTCCGCCGGCTGCTCGCCCCGCCGTGGGCCTGCGCTGTGGTCGAGGGCCTGCGGCGAGGCTTGGCACCGCCCAGGGGTCTGAGGTGGCCCAGCACTGGTTGGGGCCAGCAGGAGGGGGGGGGCGAGGTTCGAGGTTCAGGGCTCGAGAAGGTTTTACCTAACAGCGAAGACTGATAGGTTTCTAGTAGGCTCAAAAGAGAGCATCATGACTCCTCGGGGGGGTCGGGGCGGGACCCGGGGCGGCTGCCGTCGAAGCCCAAATCGCCTGGGACATCCTCGCAAAATCGCTCTTGGCGCTGCTAGAACTCCATTCCCGGCGTACATTTTGGATGCCCGGAGCCAGCTGTAGGCCACTTCGTGGTCTTCGAGTTCCCAGAACTCCATTCCCGGCGTACATTTTGGGTGCCCGGAGCCAACTGTAGGCCACTTCGTGGTCTTCGAGTTCCCAGAACTCCATTCCCGGGCCACATTTTGGGTGCCCGGAGCCAACTGTAGGCCACTTCGTGAACTCCATTCCCGGGCCACATTTTGATGGAGCCAACTGTAGGCCACTTCGTGGTCTTCGAGTTCCCAGAACTCCATTCATGGGCATGATTTTGAATGCCCGGAGCCAACTGTAGGCCACTTCGTGTTCTTCGAGTTCCCAGAACTCCATTCTCCTGCAGGCTGAGGCTGAGGCTGAGGCTGAGGCAGGCTGAGGCTGAGGCTGAGGCAGGGTGAGGCTGAGGCCGAGGCTGAAGGCAGACTGCGAGGCTGAAAAGGCTGAGGCTGAAGCAGGACTGAGGCTGAGGCTGAGGCAGGCTGAGGCTGAGGCTGAAGCAGGCTGATGCTGAGGCAGGCTGAGGCTGAGGCTGAGGCTGATGCAGGCTGAGGCTGAGGCAGGCTGAGGAGGCTGAGGCCGAGGCTGAAGGCAGACTGAGGCTGAGGCTGAAGGCAGGCTGAGGCTGAGGCTGAGGCAGGCTGATGCAGGCTGAGGCTGAGGCAGGCTGAGGCTGAGGCCGAGGCTGAAGGCAGACTGAGGCTGAGGCTGAAGCAGGCTGAGGCTGAGGCTGAGGCAGGCTGAGGCGAGGCTGAGGCTGAGGCTGAAGCAGGCTGAGGCGAGGCTGAGGCAGGCTGAGGCTGAGGCTGAGGCTGAGGCTGAGGCTGAGGCTGAGGCTGATGCAGGCTGAGGCTGAGGCAGGCTGAGGCTGAGGCCGAGGCTGAAGGCAGACTGAGGCCGAGGCTGAAGCAGGCTGAGGCTGAGGCTGAGGCAGGCTGAGGCTGAGGCTGAGGCAGGCTGAGCTGAGGCTGCAGGCTGAGTGCAGGCTGAGGCTGAGGCTGAGGCTGAGGCAGGCCTGAGGCTGAGGCCGAGGCTGAAGGCAGACTGAGGCTGAGGCTGAGCAGGCTGAGGCTGAGGCTGAGGCAGGCTGAGGCTGAGGCTGAGGCTGAGGCTGTGACTGCGACTGCCGTTGCCACTGCGACTGTCATCGCGAATGCGACTACGACTGCGAGAACAGCAGAATTCTACAACTGGATTCTCATCTGAATCTTAAGGGAAATGCTTCCAGATATGCTCCTTCACATCGCTGTTAGGTTGCTTTGCCGGGATAAATTTCCTAACAGCGAAGACTGATAGTTTCTAGTAGGCTCAAAAGAGAGCATCATGACTCCTCAGGGGGGTCGGGGCGGGACCCGGGGCGGCTGCCGTCGAAGCCCAAATCGCCTGGGACATCCTCGCAAAATCGCTCTTGGTTCTGCTAGAACTCCATTCCCGGCGTACATTTTGGATGCCCGGAGCCAACTGTAGGCCACTTCGTGGTCTTCGAGTTCCCAGAACTCCATTCCCGGGCCACATTTTGGGTGCCCGGAGCCAACTGTAGGCCACTTCGTGGTCTTCGAGTTTCCAGAACTCCATTCCCGGGCCACATTTTGGGTGCCCGGAGCCAACTGTAGGCCACTTCGTGGTCTTCGAGTTCCCAGAACTCCACTCCCGGGCCACATTTTGGATGTCTGGAGCCAACTGTAGGCCACTTCGTTTTCTTCGAGCTCCCCGAACTCTATTCCTGGGTATGATTTTGAATGCCCGGAGCCAACTGTAGGCCACTTCGTGGTCTTCGAGTTCCCAGAATTCCATTCCTGAGGCAGGCTGAGGCTGAGGCTGAGCAGGCTGATGCTGAGGCAGGCTGAGGCTGAGGCTGAGGCTGATGCAGGCTGAGGCTGAGGCAGGCTGAGGCTGAGGCCGAGGCTGAAGGCAGACTGAGGCTGAGGCTGAGGCTGAGGCTGGGCAGGCAGGCTGAGGCTGAGGCAGGTTGATGCTGAGGCAGGCTGAGGCTGAGGCTGAGGCTGATGCAGGCTGAGGCTGAGGCAGGCAGAGGCTGAGGCCGAGGCTGAAGGCAGACTGAGGCCGAGGCTGAAGCAGGCTGAGGCTGAGGCTGAGGCAGGCTGAGGCTGAGGCAGGCTGAGGCTGAGGCAGGCTGAGGCTGAGGCTGCAGGCTGAGGCAGGCTGAGGCTGAGGCTGCAGGCTGAGGCAGGCTGAGGCTGAGGCAGGCTGGCTGAGGCCGAGGCTGCAGGCAGACTGAGGCTGAGGCTGAAGCAGGCTGAGGCTGAGGCTGAGGCAGGCTGAGGCTGAGGCTGAGGCAGGCTGATGCTGAGGCAGGCTGAGGCTGAGGCTGAGGCTGATGCAGGCTGAGGCTGAGGCAGGCTGAGGCTGAGGCCGAGGCTGAAGGCAGACTGAGGCTGAGGCTGAAGCAGGCTGAGGCTAAGGCTGAGGCAGGCTGAGGCTGAGGCTGAGGCTGAGGCAGGCTGGCTGAGGCAGGCTGAGGCTGAGGCTGAGGCTGAGGAGGCTGCTGAGGCCGAGGCCGACGGCAGACTGAGGCTGAGGCTGAAGCAGGCTGAGGCTGAGGCTGAGGCTGAGGCTGATGCAGGCTGATGCTGAGGCAGGCTGAGGCTGAGGCCGAGGCTGAAGGCAGACTGAGGCTGAGGCTGAAGCAGGGTGAGCTGAGGCTGAGGAGGCTGAGGCTGAGGCAGGCTGAGGCTGAGGCTGAGGCAGGCTGAGGCTGAGGCTGTGACTGCGACTGCCGTTGCCACTGCGACTGTCATCGCGAATGCGACTACGACTGCGAGAACAGCAGAATTCTACAACTGGATTCTCATCTGAATCTTAAGGGGAATGCTTCCAGATATGCTCCTACACATCGCTGTTAGGTTGCTTTGCCGGGATTTTTTTTTTTTTTTTTTTTTTTTTTTTTTGTTTTTTGTTGTTTTGCCTTTTTCGGCCTCCGCGGGCCGTTCTCGGGCCCTGGGACCGTCAAAAACGGATCCAGGCTGGAGCGCTTCCCCAGGCAGATCCCGGGAGGGGACCGATGGTCTGGGCCCCCACCAGCTTGGACCCCCCCGGCCGCCTCCAAGGCGAGGGGGGGTCGGGGAGGTTGGCGGCGAGGTCCGAACCCTGCCCTCGCCGGTCAGCGGTCCAGGCAACTCCACGGGCGGCGGGGGCAGGGTTCGGGATTCGTCGAGCACGTGGCGAAGTCCGAGCCCTGCTCCCGCCGCCCATCGGCTCGGGAGAATGGATGGCTGGCGGGGTGAGGGCTCGGGCGTCGCCACCTGGGAGGGAGACGAGGCCCTCTCCTGGGGGAGCACGCACTGGCATAAACATAGAACTCGGGGACCCGCGCGAAATCCTTGCATCGGCGCTGGACCCCCCTCCCTGGCGCGCGGAGCGCGCCAGGACGCCCAGGCGCCGACCAGAGAACTCCTCGCTGACCTCCGAGTCTTTACTCCAGATTTCGTAATAAAAGGGAGAGGGTCTGGACCCTCCAAGACAAGCCATTTCAGACCTCCCCCGTGGGAGAACCCTCCAAAACATCGTCCCCAGACCCCCCAGGCCCTCCAAGATAGCCTGGAAGAGAGACCCCCCCCCCGAAATGAGACCCCCCTCCCTTTATTACGAAATCTGGAGTATGCTCATGCCACTGCTTCCTCGGGCCGTCGGGGCTCTGCTGCCGCGGTTTCTGGATCGCAGCCGCACTGCTTCAGATTTTGGGCCACGGCGGCGCTTTCCGGCCGTGGGCCGCGCGCGCGCGCGGGGGCTCCGGCGCCCTGCCGTGCTGCCCGACGGCGGAGCGCGGCTGCGAGAGCGCCTTTGGGGGGGCGGGCCAGAAGAACAAACAAGTGTCGCCTGTTCCTCCTCCTCCTCCTCCTCCTCCTCCTCCTCCTCTCCTCCTCCTCCTCCATCCTCCTCCTCCTCCTCCTCCTCCTCCTCCTCCTCCTCCTCCTCCTCCTCTCCTCCTCCTCCTCCTCCCTCTCCCGCCCTCCCTTCCAGTCCTCGTCCTCCTTTCCTCGTTCTCTCCTCGTCAGCAGCGGGTCGGTGGTCTCCGCCTCGGAGGGGCGGCGGGCGGACAGATCGTGCCCCCCGCCAGAATTCGGAATTCGGTTCTCCGGCGAAAACCACCCTTACCCTTAAGTCGGGCGTGTCCCCCTTGAGGGGGGTTTTCGATGAAAAATAGAAGATCCCCCAAGAATAGCCCAAAAATAGTCCAAAAATAGTCTGGGGACTATTTTTGGGGTATTTTTTGACCCCTTTGGAGTATTTTGGGCGTATTTTTCTTCAATTTTTCGTAGAAAAATCCCCTTGTAGGAGGACACGCCCGACTGAACCTTGCCCGAGCGGATAGAACGGCTGCTCAGGTGACTGGAAACACGTTTCCCTGTTTTTGATGGGCCTGTTTTCCACCACCACAACAATAAGTTGGAGGGGGAAGGGGTCCTCCTCCTCCTCCTCCTCCTCCTCCTCCTCCTCCTCCTCCTACTCCTCCTCCTCCTCCTCCTCTTCGTCCTCCTCCTCCTCGTCCTCCTCCTTCCCCCCTCCAACTTATGGTGGTGGTGGTGGTGGTGTTGGAAAACAGGCCCATCAGTTTTCCCGCGCCGACTCAAGAGAGTAACGGACTGGACGGGCCGTGTTTTCTC